CCGAGCGCCGCCGCCCCGCACATGCGTAGAGCGGCGCCCGCCCTCCCGCAGGTCCGGGCCCCGCGCCATGGGCCACGGGGTGAGTGCGGGCGGGGCGGAGCACGCGCGTGGGTGTGCACGTGAGCTTGGCACGAGTGTGCGTGTGTGCACACCTGGCACGAGTGTGCGTGTGTGCATGTCCCGTGTGTGCATGTGGGAATGCATGGGGCTGGGGAGCCGCGGGTGTCGCAGCAGGGGAGCAGGGGCCCCGGCCCTGGGGAGCCGCGGGTGTCGCTGGGTATCCCCCCGACCTGCCGCTCCTGGAGCAGAGCCGGCACAGACACGGCGGCACGCGGGGAGCCTGCCCCCAGGCGCCGCGCCGCCGCAGCAGCTGCTCTCTAGATGCTCCCGGTTGGTGCCCGATACCTCTCGCTCCCCGGGGTCTGCGGCTGTGTGCCGTGGTGGAGCCGCATGGCTGCCCATCCCCCTGGGTGCGTGGATGGTTCCTTTGACAGGGTGGAAAGTTGCCATCGTTTCATTTCGTCCTGGGCCTCAGCCAGGGAGAACAGAAACCCCTGGTCTCCCTGTCGCTTTTGCCATGTTCCCTCTTTAGTTCCTGAGGTAAAATAATTGCACCCTTTTTAACTACCCCCCCACCCCAGTTTTTGGCTCATTCTTGTCACCCTTCTCTGAGTTCCCTTTAGTTGTGCAGCTGTTTGTAGAAATGGAGGGACCAACCCTGCGCACAGGATGCTAGAAGCAGACACGCCAGGGATTTGTACGGTGCCGTTATGATGTGCTGCACGATTCTCCATCCTATCTGTTATGCATCCAGACACGTTGCCCACGTATGTACATTATGAGCACTGTGCCCAGGGCTTCACTGAGCTGCCTACGGCAATACCAGGTGCCCGAGTTGAGGTGGTTAATCTAGATGGGTGTTTCTCAACCTCTGTAGACTGGAGACACTCCTCAGAAAATGCTAGCTCTTTTTTTTCGCTCATTTTTTGGCCACACAAGAAAATACCAGAGCAATGCTTCTGTTGCAAAGAGCTCAGAGAGAGCATAATGGGTCAGGATGTTTTTAATGCTTCAGGTTCCTATTTGAAATCTCTGTGTTTTTCTTGGGGATCATTGTTGCACACCCAATAGTGCTAACGTTGTATAACACCCTTGTGGAAGGATCTCGGGGCATCCCAGGGTGCTGTGGTCCACTGGTTGCAAATCACTGATCTAGACTCATGAAAGATGGCTGAGGTGTTCCCATATCCCCTCCCTCCAGAGCACACTATGTGCTTTAGCAGCGGTCAGCTTCATTTGTCACTGTACTATTCCTTTCGCCAACCTCATCTGTATCCCTCTGAGATTCCTCCAAGTCCAAACTTGTCCTGACCAATCTACATAATTTTGCATCTTCTGCATGCTCTTACCTAGCTGCTCGATTTCCAGATTATTAATACGTACGTTGAGCAAAACTCAGCCTAAAACTGTGTGTGTCCTACAAGGAGGTGACATTGTATTGGGTAACGATTGCCTTTTTTTAATCATGAACTTCATTTTTATGGAGAAAAAAGAGAAATGTATTAGCTAGTCTACCCTGGGCATCAATGCTTCAGTGTGCAAACACACACACTTCCTGATATGCTTTCACTAGCAGGGAACGCCTCTCTAGGGACAGAAAGGTATAAGGGGCGGTTTCCATTCTAGTCAAGTGTTAGCTTCCCTGCTGAGGCCATCAGAAAGGGGCTCAGGGGTGTTTTGAGATGTGGCAATATGGCTATCGCTGAGCCAGCCTGAAGAGACCGTCTACTCTAGGCCTCAAAGTTGAAATCCTTACAAATAGAAAATGACACCCAGAAAGGGTTCACTCAGCTTCTGAAGTAGATCTTCCCTCACAGCAATGGATCTTTAAACCACACACACAAGGCTAAAGTCTTCAAAAGTCTGGTGCATAAAGTTGGGTATCCAAATCCATTTTTGCCTATTTAATTTTGAACCAGTTCATGTCTGCATATAGACAGAGATAACGGTTAAGATTATAAAAGGTTGGCTAAAAATCCTTTACTGTCTGTGTTGGCTTTAAAGACCCCCGTGATAAGATGAGAAGGTTTCTCAGAAGTTCTTAAGCAACATTTCTCTTCCCTTTCTCTTGAGCCAGGTGCTAACTAGGGGGCGTTATTTACTCTCTCCTTTCCTGAGGTGTAGTGCTTTATTGTGGAGGTGAATGAATTTAGGCCCCGATTATTACATTAGATCTGTGATGATAGAATCCTGCACCTGCCTGGGGTTGATACTCCTTTAATAGCTCTCAAGTACAAACCCACGCAATTCAGCAGTTTTGTGGAAGAAAGATGTTGAAGAAATGGAAACCAGTGTTGTTTGGTACATCTGTGCCGAACAGTTAGCACTGATGTGGATGTTGAAAGATCAAGCACTTAAGTTTAGTATTGCAGAGTTAGGCTCTAGCCGTGAAATCACTTACGCATGGACTGAACTTTAAGGCTATGAGGGGGAGGGGGCAGTGAGCTTATACTTTAATAATGATTTTTCTTTGTATCATTATAAATTACTGGATGGCAACTCAGGCAGCAGTGACCACAAGATGATCGAGCTCAGGATGGTGAGGAAAGGAAGGAAGGAGAGGAGAAGAATTTCTCTCGACTTCAGAAAAGATTACTTTAACTCCCTCAGGAAACTGACGGGCAGGATCCCTGGGAAGGCCAGTCTGAAGGAGAAAGGAGTCCAGGAAAGCTGGTTGTATTTTAAAGAAACCTTGTTGAGGGCACAGGAATGAAACATCCTGATGTGCAGGAAGACTAGCAATTATGGCAGAAGACCAGCTTGGCTTTGCAGGGAACTCTTCAGTAAGCTAAAACACAGAAAGGAAGCTTACAAGAAATGGAAACTTGGACAGAAAATTAGGGAGGAGTATAAGAATATTGTTTGAGAACGTAGGGACGAAATCAAGAAGACCAGAGAGCAATTGGAGTTGCAGCTAGCAAGGGGTGTGAAGGGTAACAAGAATGGTTTCGACAAGTATGTCAGCAGCAAGAGGAGGATCAGGGAAAGTGTGGGTCCTTTACTGAATGGGGGAGGCAGCCTAGTGACAGATGATGTGGAAAAGGCTGAAGTTCTCAGTGCCTTTTTTACCTTGGTCTTCATAGGCAAGGTCGACTCCCAGACTGCTGCACCTGGCAGCACATTTTGGGGAGATGGTGAGCAGCCTTTCATGGTGAAAGCATTGGTTGGGGACTATTTCAAAAAGCTGGATGTGTCCATGGAGCCAGGTGGGATGCACCGGAGGCAGCTGAGAGAATTAGCTGATGTGATTGCAGAGCCACTGGCCATTATCTTTGCCAATTGTCTGGGACCTCTCCCAATTGCCACGAGTTTTCAAAGGGCAAACATAGTGCCCATCTTTAAGAAAGGGAAGCAGGAGTATTCAGGGAACTACAGACTGGTCAGCCTCGCTTCAGTCCCTGGAAAAATCATGGCACAGGTCCTCAAGGTCGCCCACAATATTCTCACAAGCAAGCTAAGGAAGTATGGGTTGGATGAATGGACTGTAAGGTAGATAGAAAGCTGGCTGGATTGTCGGGTTTAAAGGGTAGTAATAAATGGCTTGATGTCTAGTTGGCAGCTGGTATCAAGTGGAGTGCCCCAGGGGTTGGTCCTGGGGCTGGTTTTGTTCAATATCTTGATCAATGATATGGAAGATGGCATGGAGCGCACCCTCAACAAGTTGACAGATGACACCAAGCTGTAGGGAGTAGTAGATACACTGGAGGGTAGGGCTAGGATTCAGAGAGACCTAGACAAATTGGAGGATTGGGCCAAAAGAAATCTCATGAGGTTCAACAAGTACAACTGCAGAGTCCTGCACTTAGGAGGGAACAATCCCATGCACGAGTGCAGGCTGGGGACAGACTGGCTGGGCAGCAGCTGTGCAGAAAAGGACCTGGGGGCTACAGTGGACAAAAAGTTGAATAAGAGTCAACAGTGTGTCCTTGTTGTGATGAAGGCTAATGGCATCCTGGTCCACCTTGGTAGGAGCGTTGCCAGCAGATCAAGGGAAGTGATTCTTCCCCTTTATTCGGCACTAGTGAGGCCACATCTGGAGTCTGCTGTCTAGTTGTGGGCCCCCCACTACAGAAAGGATGTGGAGACATTGGAGAGAGTCCAGCGGATGGCAGTGAAAAAAATGGTTCGGGGGCTGGGGGACAGGCCTGGTGAGGAGAGGCTTAGTTACAAAGAGGAGGGAGCTGGGCTGGTCTCAGTGGTGGCAGATGACAGAACAAGGAGCAATGGGCTCAAGCTCCAGCAAGGGAGGTCTAGGTTGGATATTAGGAAGAACATTCTCATGAGGAGGGTGGTGAAGCCCTGGAGCAGGTTACCTAGAGAGGTGGTGGAGTCTCCATCCCTGGAATTTTTGAAGACCCAGGTAGACAAAGCCCTGGCTGGGATGGACTAGTTGGGGCCGGTCCTGCTTGGAGCAGGGGGTTGGACTAAACGGGACCTCTTGAGGTCCCTGCCAACCCTTGTTTTCTATGATTCTCTAAATGTTGTTTACTACTGTGGACTCCATGAGATGGGTTTTAGACAGCCATCTATACAGGAGGCTCCGATACAAATATTCTTCAGAAGAGGTTGCTGTTTTGTGGGGGTTAAGTGGGATCTGGGACAGAACAAATAAATTGCTTTGGTAGCTGTGAAATTTATGAATTTGTAATGTCACCAAGTTGAAACAGTCTTTATTTTATCTGTTAGATCAACTCAAAGTCAACTAGACTGTTGTGAGGCTATGCAGCACTTTAGCTGTCTCTGTCACTCTACCTAAAAGGCTGGATGTCTCTGGGAAACATCAAATATTCTTGCCATTACATGAGTTCAGCTGTATCCAGAAAAGTCAACGGATTACCGACCTTGTGCTGAATAGGTGGTTCTGCCATTTACAGTGTAATGGTCTTGAAAGTTTACGTTTCATCTTGCAATGCCCCTTCTCCCAGTTCAGTGGCGATCGTACCTGAGATTATAAACCCATTAAAGCCATTTGTGTTTACACAATGGGCATGGCAGCATGCAAATGAGGACACGCTGTTGCTATTAAGAAGCCTGGTCAGCTAAGCTGTTTGAGCAGATCACTCGCATTAGACTGCAGGAGAGAAAACAGTTCTTCCTCTAGAACAGGGCTCAAACAGAAATCCAGTTATCAATTGTAGCCTGGCATAATCTTGTGAAAAGGAAGGGTGTTTAGACAGTGCAGATGCGCATGTTGGGTTTTAGGCTCTGATGGTAACACTTACGCATGTGGTTAAGTCTTAAAGAGGTAAATAATCATGCTTTTCAATTAGGCTGCCTGTCTGGTGCTGGTTTGGAGGACCTGGATCTCAGAAATGATAATATTCCAGTTAAAGGTCTTCAAGAGGGGATCATAGTTTTAAAAGAAAGCTGTCACCAATGTTACATGGGGTGTGAATGATACTGTCAGATCTGATTCCAGAATATACAGCGCCCTTGCATTTTGTAAGTGGCCAATTGGTTCATTCACAAGCGTTTTCTAAGAATATTTTGAAATCGGATGTCCAGTGTATGGAAAGTAGTGCACTAGTTCATTAGGTTAAATACTATTATTGTGTGCAAGTTGTGACTTACTTAGCACTACATGTTAGATCAATCACCATTTTAATCAGAAGATTAAAACGATTCATTCTATAATTAGAATAATAAAGAAATACTGCAAATTGCCTTTTAGCCAAGGATCTCAATTGCATTTATTTTTCGGCTTGTGAATTGCTTTTATTTTTAAGCCTTTTCTGTAGTGTTTATTATGCTCGTACATGAGTATTTTCCATCCTTGTCTACATTTATTCTTGCAGACCTCTTGTGAAATATGAATATTCCCAGTTTAACAGATTAGGAAGTATAGGGAAGGGCAGGGGAAAGGAGCTATTTAAGGCCATAAAGAATGCCTCTGGCACACAGAGGAAGAGTCCCTGAATCTCCTGAAAACTTTAACCACAAGGCCATCCATATCTGCCTATTAAGCCATTGTTTCATACTGTGCAAGAAGGCTTTAGGCAACGTTGCCTTGGGAGATTCTGCATAGAAGGGCAGAATAACAGGCGTCCCTGTGAAGTAGGTCAGGATTATCGTCTCTGTGGGGCCTGCTGAGGATTATCATCTCTGTGGGGCCAGGGAGAGGTTAAGTAACTTGCCCAAGGTCACACACCGAGTCAATGAGGCAGATGTGACTGATGCTTTTGTAATGTCCTCAAAGTACTTGGATATTCTGGTAGATCAAGTCCCTGTAGCCAGATGATGAAGTGCCAGGAGCCTTGTTAGTGACACAAATCTGCCATTAACACTTTAAAAAGAAAGTAAGACTTCTTAGGATGAGCCCTGGCAATGACACCGCTTCTCACTTGGCAAAGGCAGGAGACATCCCAGCTGGGAGCGTATGAAGAGGTGGGGGAAGTCCCCCATTATTTAACAGCATTATCTGATGAGCACATTGTCCTCTCATAATTCCCGGAACTTGGCACGGTAGACGCAGGAGGTGAAACGGAGAGCAGCCACCAAGCTAACGCTCATCCCTGTCAGATAACAATGGCTCCATGGAAGGATGTTAAGATTATAAACCATAAAGACCAAAGATCATTCATTTATCTTTGTAGAGAATGCAAGGGGAAATAAGGTAAATACCTCTTGAGACTGCAGAGTGCAGTGAGCCCTCAGGGCTCATCCAGCGCAGGGAGGTGCATCCTGTAGAGTGTAAAGTGATGATTGATTCATTGTTCTTGCAAACGCAACCATTATTTTCTGGTTTGCTTATTTGGAGAAGCTTAGCCAAGTTTGAAGCAAGCAACAGCTCGGAATCGCCCCTGTGTCCACATGGCTCCCTTATAAAGCACTTTGAGAGCCTTGCTTGATTAATGAATAAATAGTGGAAAAAGTGAATGAGGATCAAATGCAAACACCTACGTTAGCACTACTCTTCCCATGCGGTAGAGCTGCCCCGGTGGCAAGATTGTACTGTGTTTGACTAAGGAAGCAGGCCCTGTGTCCGCCAGCCTGGTAAAACTGTCATGAAAATATCTCAGGTTGTGGACAGGCATCTTTTAACTGCTTGAAAAAGAAGGGGGATGGAGGTTGCCAGTCTAGGACAGGCATGAGCTGGTGTGATCTGGGAAAGCTTCAGTAATTTTGCTGCACTTGTATCATTGTATGAACTTGCAGATGCAAAAGTGGACCCTAACGGTTTATACCTGCATCATTCAACACCAGTACAAATGTTATGCCTGGCTGTGCCCCTAAGCCTCTTGCCTCTGCTCCATTACCATCATGAGGTTTGATGGATTAAGGTGCACACCTAGATAGCACACTGCTTGGGCGCTTTGTAAACCTCTAGTTAGGTAGTAATGGAAAAAAATGTTGTTCTACATGCCCATCGGCAAATATGTTACCCCAGGCGAGTGAGTGAGTACAGCGTGGCAGAGCAGCTGAGAGCAGGAGCCAAGCTGGGGAAGATCCACCCTTCCCTTGGGGGTTTTTTGGGGATTTTTTTAAATGTATTTTCCTTCTGTTCCTTCCTGCAGGCCTGTTCCTTCCTGGAAACTCAGCAGAGAATTTGCATTCATAGGTTGCTGGATCTGTTCCATCTTCATGGATGATACCCAATATGTTCACTGCAAATCCAGCTCTGGGACTCTGTGAACTGAGAGGTGCCCGATGCCTGTAATCCCCATCCCCCGCCGGGTCCGTTCTTTCCACGGCCCCCACACGACATGCCTGCATTCGGCCTGTGGCCCGGTAAGGACCACTCACTTGGTGCGCACCAAGTACAACAACTTCGACATCTATCTGAAGTCCCGATGGATGTATGGATTCATTCGGTTCCTGCTGTATTTCAGCTGCAGCCTGTTTACCTCCATCCTCTGGGTGGCACTCTCTATCTTGTTTTGCCTTCAGTACCTTGGCATCCGGATCTTTCTGCGTTTCCAGTACAAACTTTCCATCATCCTCCTCTTGTTGGGGCGAAGGCGGGTGGACTTCAGCCTCATGAATGAACTGCTCATCTATGGAATTCATGTGACCATGCTGCTAGTGGGGGGGTTGGGCTGGTGTTTCATGGTGTTTGTGGATATGTAAATAAAATGAGCGCATGTGGGCCGAGAAGGTGATTCTTCCTCTACCCCAGAGTGTGTGAATATCCTCTTCTTTTTTATTTAATATAAATTAATTTATTTATCAGCACTCCTTTTGGATCAATGCTGTACCTGTCTGCAGATTGTTTTTTTATTTGTAGATAGGCAGGGTGTTGCTTAGTTCCAGGAGCAGAAAACTTTATTTTGCACAGTGAACGCTTTGCTAAGTTTCCTTTTCATATGCAGGAGCCTGTCCTGCCACCACTTCTGTAGGCAGGAAGAGGGCAGTGATTGATTTGGAGGATAGAAGCCAGATAATTCTATATCCCACCAGGTCTTATTCTGGGGTAACTTCCCCAAAAGCAATCAAGTCACTTTTCAATTACTCACAACTAAAGCATCTCTTCTGAATTACTAGCACCTATTATATATATAGAAGGGGAGATAAATAGATCTATCTAGAGATTACATATAGATAGATCTATATATCTATCTATCTAGATAGATCTGTCTATCCATAGAGATAAATAGATAGATCTATCTGTATAATAAAGAGAGAGAGATCTCCCCCTCTCCTGTGTTGTGTAAGGAACTGCAGTTTGATTTGTGATATCTGACTCTGGAGCAAGGGGTTCCCCAAATGATGCAGCCATCTCGGATTAGACAGCTGCTTTGTGCAGCTCCCATCAAAGGGGAGTGGAAGAGGTTGTAGCTGGCCACTTTAGGCTGGTTTTAGAGCCTTGCTAATTCCAGAGGGAGCTAAGAGACAGGAGACCTTTGAGCTACTGTGACTGAGCCACCGAATCTGGTGACAAAGACACTTAAGTCATCTTTGTTCTTTCCCCACATCCTCTGCCTACACTTTCGGAGACTTACAATACTGAACCTGACCCTAAGAGGTGATAGTGGGGGGAAACCTTTCCAGTCCTGAAGTGTATTCATCTCAGCTTAGGTGAGCAACAACAGAAGGAAGGGACAGTCAGGAATAATGCGGGATGCTCTTTGGGTTCCCTTTGCCTGCAGTATGAGCTGTGGAGCTATCCCAACCCTGGCTGCTCTGGGCAGGAAAGGACCAAACGTGGCCCCCGTGTTGCAGTGTATTGCATTACTGCTGAACTCCACCCTGCCCCTCTGCAGCCAGAGCTCCACATTGCGTTTCAAGTGAGCGTGCTTCCCGCATCACAAGACCAGGGGGAAGCTGGCTGAGTTCCAGAAAGGACAAGGCCATGTGAAGAGTAAGTCATGCACAAAATTAAATGCCAGTGAAAATGCCCCCTTAATCTTCCTTCCTACAAATGTACCCAAAGGCCTGCTACCAAGTGCCCCATTTCCTTTCCCTTACCAAGTCCTGAGTTTAGGGTTTTGCAGTCCCATGAAGAGGGGGAGTTTGTGATCACAGCAGATAACCATGCAGCAGGCTGAATGGGTTCTGTTCCCAGATGTGCTGCTGCCATAGCATGAGCTTGGACAACTTGCTTCAATTGACCCTTGTTTTACACATCTACGGTATGGTCATAATGCCATTGGATGAATGGGGCACTCTTTGGATGAAAGAGCAAAATGCAGTGTCATAGACACCAAACCAGTGCAAGCTCCTGTGTCCCTTACAATCTGTAGGTGCAAGTGGTTTTTGTCAGCTATGGCTGCAGATGTGATGACCCTAGCACTGTCATGTAGCCATGTAAGAGGGAGTAATTTTCAAATAATTTTATTTCAAGATGTAATAATATGAATATTTGAGGTCTGCAAGACCAGAGTACTGTGTGGCACATATATAGCACGTCTCATCTTCAAAGCATTTTACAGCCACTAGCTAATTAATCCTCACAACAGCCTGGGAGGTTGCTGAATAAGTAAGATCTTGGTTGTGATTGGGAATTTTAATCAGTTTTTTCAATTCAGGGTGCTTATTAAAAAGCATTTACGCTCACTTTGAAGGAAATACTTCTCTCAAGTAGTGGAGATGCTGAAGGTGACCTATAAGCCCAAAAAGGAGAAAGTGGGCAGTGAGGGAGAAACCTCTTAACCAAGCCATAACTAAGAACAGTCCCAAAAGAGAGAGGCTGTGTCATGCAAAGGCAAGTGCTTTGAATAAACTGTTTTTCCCTTCAAAGCTTTCCTCATTGAAAAAGTCGTTTGTTTGGTTTGGTTTTAATTGGCAGAGCAGACCAAATAACCATGTGGGTAGAAGCTGGAATCTCTTTCTACGCCCTTAGGAGATGGAGAAAAGGCCAGGAAAGGTAGTTGTCAGAAATATTGTATTTGAAACTGGTACTCACAAACTCTGCCTTGCTGGGAAACTTGTTTTTTTTTCCCTTGGACTTAGCCGTGTTTCTCAAACTTGCCAACCCCTGAAAGGACCAGGTCAGATTATAAAACAGTTTCTTCATCTAAGTCTTGTTGTTATGTTGCAGATAACACTTCACATCATTAACATTGAAAGAGTTTGAAAAACATGAACTGACTTTTCACTATTGTTGCTGTTCGTTTCCTTTTACACAATTGCATTTTGGACTGGGAACAAGCCAGTTGGTTTCATTCTGTGTCTAATCATTTTCCCTTTAATGTTTCAATGCTGCCATGTTTGAGTTTTCTGGATTTTCAGATGAATGTTTTAAAACTTGCTTCCAGGCAAAATTAGAAGAGAATAATAGACCCATTTCACCTGCTACGATTTCTGCCAGAGGTTACTTTACCCGACCTACATTTTGGGTCGTATCTGATCTAACGGCATCCCTTCTAGGAAGCTAATTCTGCCTTCATTTTTGGATCCGCAGCTCCCGCTGGTTGGTTCTGTCTCAAGCTAGTGAAGGTTTCAAGTATGTGGGGAATGCAAAGCCAAGCTCTGAAGATCTGTTGCACGGGCCAAACAGCAGAGGCAATTACACATGTGGTGACAAAGTTGCATTAGCCCTGCTGGCGAACGAATGAATGTACAAATTAACATGCCAAGTGTTTGATTTGCCTCTTGTTGACTTTTTGGAACATGGAAACAGCTCAGTGTCTTGAGTGCCTGTTAATAATTCTTCCTGAAACCTGCCACCTGCATTAAAGTTATTTTTGTAATGTGTTGATGGGTTGGTTGTTTAAGCTGAGTACAACTGGAGAGTCTTTTTCACAGCGATCGTGCTGGGGGTGGGGGGTGCTCTGCACACACTTGGTGCAGATGTAAAGCTGTGGAGTCAGGCCCACTATAATCAAGCCTCACAAATACCCTGGCAGGGTGGATGTGGTTGCATCAGTTGTTTTAGCTGAGTGTATTAATCATGAGTGCATTAATTGTGAGGGGTGTTGGTCACCAGCAAAACATCCAGAGTGGGACCTGGGTGTCCTGACTCCCACCCGCTGCTCTGCTGATCCTATGGCACTGCTGGTAATGCTTACTCATTACTCCAGTTGTTGCACACCCTCAGGTGGAAGAACCGCTGCGCAGTGCATTGTCTGTAATCACTGGCATTATCTGTTCTCCCTTGCCTGTGCAGAGACAAGTCCCCACGGCAGAACCAGACAGGGTTTGAATGCAGTTGTGACCATGCGTTGGGAGTCAGAGGAGAGTAGGATGTATCACAGGGTTTTATCTCAGCTGGTGCAAAAAGGAGAAGTGCTGTGGGCTCATGAAGTCTACTGAGGACTTTGTTATTGCCATTGATTTTCCATGGACAGTGCTTGGGTTTGGCAATGATGCAGGGCACTATGAAATCCCAAGGCAGATGGATTATGACTTGTCCTGGTCTCTGCTGATTGTGTCATAAGGGGTATTTGCCCATAAGAGCTGGTAAAATGGGGATCATTGCAAGTGCAACCACATTTCAGTGGCTCCAGCAGTTCAAACCAATCCTGCATGAACGCAGAGAGGAAGTGGCTGCAATTGCTGCTCAGAGGCTGAGATGGTAGCCAGTGGAGGCTTGGGGGAAAGAAAGGTGGTTTCCTGCACACAGCCAGAATATTTGGGTTTATGAGAGTGAGTGGTTTCTACTTTTAATAATACAAGAAACAACCTTGTGTAAGGGACTGCTCAAACATAATGCAGATGGGTAAGGAAATGGGCCAGCTGCAAGGGCAGGACAGTCGCATCCATTAGTTGCAGGTGACTTTGAATGTTTCTGCACAAGTACATACGTTGATTTAGTTGGGTTAAAAGCGCAGTCTCTGTTATAACTTGGGGAAGCAGGAATTTGCATGCCTTCATCCTTAAAACCAAGTTGCACACACTTTATACTCGGGGCACCCCATCCACAATGACCACACAAGCAAAGGCGTAGTGAAACCGAATGGGAGCAGAACAAGTGGCTGACGTCAGACTTCTACGTGTGAGCACAGCCAGACCCCACGAGAGAGGGAGGGAGAAGGTACATCTGCCTTGCTCAAAGTCATGTACTGTACAGGATGAATAACTTAAGCAAATATGAATGTGTTCCCTGAGCATAGATCGTGAAGCTGAGCATTTCATTTCTCGGCTGGTACATCCAAAGAAGCAGGCTGCTCTCGCTGGAGATAATGTGCCACTCACGTAGAAAGCAAGCTCAGAGTCGGTTCTGGTTGTGTTATGCTATCCCCAAATGAGAGTGGCTCCACTTTAAGGGAAGCCCATGTCTGGTTCTTGGCAAGCATGCTAACTTCATGCCACTCCCCTGTTCCTGGAGAAGTGAAAATAGTTTTCACTTGTATGGCTTCAGTCACCCCAAACACCCAATGGCTGGATCAATGGTCTCAAGTTGCAGCAAGGAAAATTTGGGTTAGGTGTTAGGAAAAACTTTCTCACTGTGAGGGTAGGAAAATGCTGGACCAGAGAGGTGGTGCAGTCTCCATCCTTGAAGGTTTTTAAGACCCAGGTAGACAAAGCCCTGGCTGGGATGAGCTAGATGGGGATGGTCTTGCTTTGAGCAGGGGGTTGGATGAGATGTGACCTCCTGAAGTCCCTTCAACCCTCATTTCCTATGATATGTGCAGTGAGGACCAGGGGCCAGCTGGGCCAACTCAGATGTGGTCCATGGAGCCAGTTTGCACTGACTGGGCGTATCTACATGTTCATTAAT